TGTGTGTGTGTGTGTGTGTGTGTGTGTGTGTGTGTGTGTGTGTGTGTGTGTGTGTGTGTGCGTTTGTGTGTGTGTGTGTGCTCTCTCGTTGTGTCGAATCAATCGATTACCATATATTATATATTATTTCCAACACCTAGCATATTTTCGAGAAGTAGAAAGTAGCAGCAATTCTAAACATAATGAGAACTACCAACAGAATCTCCTGGCGAAAAAACGGGAAATCAGTTTAAATAAAGAAAAGCTCACTAACAAGATAACCGTCATATAAGCGGGAAAAACGAGATGTACCGAAACAAAAAAGCGTGTACAAATAACTGGAGTGTCGCACAATTATTTTCGATAAGAATATCGTCTCCTCCATTTAATATATTTTGTAAATTTGTCAGGTCTTATTGTCAATTATTATTACTTACTAAACAATCCTTTCCTCCATAAAATAGAAAATACAATATAATATAATATGGACACATGTACTTGCTTTATAATAAGCCCCGACTAAGCTTTACAATTATGTTAAAACATTCATCTTTAGAATAAGATAAGACCACCACATATATTATAGTCTGGCAGATTTGAGAAATCGCAAGGAAATAAAAGCAAAAGAAACACAATGAAATGCAGTTGATAGAGAAAATCATCGTATCTAAAATATTCAAAATGTACATTAATGTACGAATGGGAAAGTTTTTTAATTTTCATCGAAAACGCGAACTCCGTTGCCTCTAGCGGAGGCTTGATTTGCAGTGTGCACACATCGTCCGCGGAATGATCACGATGGCCGCACCATTTGAAAACAACTCTATTTTGGAAGAAATGTGAAAGGAAACTGATACAAATAAGTAAATTACTTCATCTATGATCTATAATTGTTGCATTAGAGCTCTTCTATCCAGTAGACTAAACAAACAAACAAACAAACTCGGTGTGTATGCTGACAGAAGTTGAATGAAAGAACGTTCAATTTTATCAAGTGCATAGATCTATGTAGGCCTACTGTATATAAATGTTAACATGACATGAAATGACGTGCGGCGTTCTAGCCTAGTGGTAAAGGCGTCAGACTTTTTTTTGGACTAGATGTAAAACTTTTTAACCAGGGTTCAAACCTGTGTGTCTCCCTTTTTTTTTAGCGGTATTTTTGGGGTTTTTAAAAATTTATTTTGTTTTTTAGCTGTATTTTCCCTTTTTTTTTAGGGGGGGGGGTTCTGTTTTATTTTTCGTCTCTGGCTTCAGTACATGGATATGATTGACATCTTGAAACGCTTCCTTAAGAGCCGAAGGTTCAGGTGACTGGTGGTTACATTTACAATCCTTGCAAGACAGGCTCCCCTTCCTTGCTGCTGCCGGGCACTCACAGTACACCAAGTCGGTCTATATCTACCTTTAGAAGATGAGACAGCTTGAAGAACAGCACCCATCAGTTTTCAATGCCTTCTCGTTTGGCTTTCACGTTCTGGGTCGAAGTGATCGCTTCTGGGCTGGACTGAGTACTGATCTCGTGATTGAGCAAGTCTTAATGAAATACCCAAAGTCTGCTGGAGGACTGACGCGTGGTTGAGTCATGGGAGATACACAGAGAACACAGTAGCTCATGTCCATGCCAGCTTGTGCTGATATAATATGCAATGAAATGCAGCGGGTTACTGGTACAGAATTAAATACAAGTCAACAACATATTGAAGTCAGTGATGCCAGACAAACGAGAGATGATAAAGATATGAGACTGCTCCTTAGTTTCCTAAAAGATCGCAACCACTTTGCCAGTGATCAGACATTACGGAATATATGCACAGGGGTGACAGCTCATTCCACAGTTAATGCCGACACTGCAAAAGATGTTGGCAAGGTTATTTTGCAGACCATGCAGGACAAACCTTTGAAGGACTCCACCTTCAAAAGAAAAGACCAAGTTGTTAGCATGGACACCAAAATCACTGCCAAAATGGAGGGTGCAAACATACAAAGTCAATCCTCAACTTCTCTTTCAGCGGATGATTACAGCAGCAAACGTTGACAATTATTATCTCCCATCTGTGTTGAAGTATGAACTGACGACTCCACCACCATCTCTCTCTTTGATCTATCAAGATTGAAGAGAGAGGCACACATTTCCAAGCTGGCTGATTCAATGAGAGACCTCTTCAAAGATGATCCACCATCGAAAGATGAGTACATGGACATGGTGACCATATTGGACGGGGATTCATGTCTTCACAAAATCCCCTGGAGGAAGAAAGAGCCCGTTTCCGTAATTTGTAATAGGTATGGTGAATATGTTAACAGGAAATATTCTAAGCCCATCGTGGTGTTTGATGGGTATGAGTCGGGCCCATCAGTTAAAGATGCCGCTTTCCTCAGGCGTTCTGCAGGTGTGGTCGGACCAGCTGTTGTCTTCCCCAAAGAAATGCCATTGACCTCAAGCAAGGAACACTTCCTTTCAAATCCAAGAAACAAACAGGAGTTCGTTCACCTCCTTAGAGGCACTCGGATGGCTCTTGGTTGCCACTGTCTTCACGCTGCTGGAGATGCCAACACACTCATAGTAAAAACTGCCATGGAGTATGCAGCAACCCACCCTGTAGCTGTCATTGGAGAAGATACAGACTTGCTTGTGCTCCTTTGTCACCATGCACTGCTCAGTAGCAGGCCTATTATTTTCAGATCAGACAGAAAATCTGGCGACAATCACAAAAAGTTTAAACATCCAGAACCTGTAGGAGAAACTAGGCGAAGAAACGTGTCATTTTCTTCATGCTGTCAAAGGCTGTTATTTAACTTCGAGACTTTTTGGGCTGGGAAAAGTGGTTCCAATGAGAAAATTGACAGATGCTCATTTTCGAAAGCGAGCTCATATTTTTTGCACAGCAGGAAAGACTCAGGAAGACATCAATGATGCTGGAGAAAGAGCTTTAGTCAGTCTCTACAATGGCACTGCTGCAGACACCCTTGCGCTACAAGAGGTTCTATATAAAGGTTGCATCATGTGCCACATCCGTCCAAATCCAATGCTTGCCGCCAACCAGTACTACAGCCAAGTACCACGGTCTTGGGGGGGGTGTATCTTCAAGTGCAGGTAATATTCAAGACACAATGGGGATGGCAGCTGCACGATGGTCACTTGGATCATGCATGACAGATATGCCACCTGCCCCACATTCTCTGTTGAAGGTGATTAAGAGCAGCTGTAGAACAGATTGTAAGTCAACAAATCGCACGTGTCGTCGCCACGGACTGGAATGCTCCATTTCCTGTGGAGGTTGCGTGGGTTTGACCTGCACAAATTGCCCATCACTTACTGAGGAAGATGATATCAGTCTCCTGGAGTTTCCTGGCGGGCTTGATACTCTTGAAATACCAGATATGATGAACGTGCACGATCTACTGTTGTGAAATTCCATTTGGTGTGTTTGTGTTCCTATTTGGCCTCCAAGCTTTTTCAATATTACATATTCAAACAGCATTTTTGTCGAGCTTTCAAACGAGGTGCAACATGACTATGTTCTAAAAGATATTTTTATAAAGTTGACCCCGATGACGTCATGAGCTAAAAATAGCATTTCCCATTAAAGCGTGAATGTACATTTTTAGTATGTTGAAAGTGACCTAATTCTATGTACATCCCGATACTTTTTGTTTCTTTTGCAATTTTTTCCTTTCTTCCAGTATTTTTGTCGTTCCTCTACTACACTAATAATATGCCTTTGGAAAATATAGTATACTAGCTGGGTTTCCCGTTCGATGAACGGACTCAAAAGAATCGATTGTCAAATCATTGTGGGCTCAGTGCACGCACTCTTTGTGAACGGAAGCCTCACTTATTTACAACGGCGTCTTTGAAGACGGACTTTCGTAAGATTAGATCTAAACGAAACTAATTAAACACTGAAAATTAAACTGCAGGGACTTCAGACTCCTCAGTAAAACTGTGCACCCTTTAAATGATTCTGAACCACCGTTAATTTTTTCAAATTCGAAAGTTAAGTGGTTCCGAAGTTTTAGGTGACCAAAGTGACGAACTTTCTCAAATATAATATATATAGATAACAAAATGATATTATGATGTTTGCATCTTTCACGGACAGGCAGAAAGAAAAGATTTCTCGAGAGAACAGGACGTATCACCAGAGCACAACTTCCCTATAGAACATTATCTCTATGATACACTCATTCAAAATACCATCACTGACGAGAATTGTTCATGTCACAACCTGTAAGGATAGTCTCTCAAAAACTGTTTGTGCTTGCTTGAAAGCGGCAGTGATGCCACGGACAGTTCATAAAACTCTCCAGTGTCCAGAGATGAATTGATTTTGACCCGAGCCAAATGAGCAAGGGATGGCACTGTCCTTCTGAAAGGCTTTATAAAGGGAATCTCAACAGCTTTTCTGCACGTCTTTGCTCGCATCGTCAGACGTTTTCCATATTTACGCAGGTTTAAAGCGTGGAAGTCTAAGAGAGTCATCAGGCTGCCAAAGCATGTATGGACTTTGGGCTGCTCTTCATCTCCGTCAAACCCAAACAACCCATCAATGTAGGAGATACGAACGCTCGTGGCCCCTTGCTCACTCTTGACACTCACAGTATAAATGTAGTCAGGGTGGGAACTGTCTCTGACTAAAAAAGACCCAACTTCAGCTTTTCTCAACAGTTCCATCGCAGTTGCTTGGTCCAGAGATGGGAAATAGAAACATCCCGCCACCAACTCTTCCTGGTTTTTCTTCAACGTGTCGAAGTCCAGTTCCGAGTCAACGTCAGAGGACAGTCTCTCACAGCTCACCCCAGAGTCCTTTGTCACCTCATCGTGACCAGCTCTGTTGTCCCGGTCGTTGTTTCGGACCATATTGTCATGTTCTTCATGCTGGTTGTTGTTTCCTGAAGCACCAGGCTCCGCTACAGAAACTTGCCTGCGTAGCTCGACTTCCCGTGAAGTGCAGCTGCTAACTGAACGAGTTCCCGGGGGCGTTGAGTGTGAACTAGCTTTGCAAAGCCTGGAGTCCGATGCAAGGACCAAGGGAAGATTCTGGCGTGTTTCAGAAAGAAATCTTTGTAAACGATCCTTATCGTAGTCACGACAAATACGAAAGATAACCTCTTCCATGTCCGCAGAATCACAGCGCTCTCTGTGAGGTGGTTGTAACATGTTTCTGTTAGGCAGCCGCCTTCACACAGGGAGATGTGGGAAGAAGTCTGGAAAGGAAAAAGAAAAATATTCTTTAAGTTAACGAGAAGCTTGAGGCAGACCACAGATGCTGGGAAAAGGATGTCAAAGCAAGAGTTAGTACAAGTGAGAACATGTGAGGGAGGGGAGGGGGGTGGGGAGAGCGCAGACAGTATAGGAGGACATCAGCAGCCCAGGAGCCAGGGGTAAAATTCGCATTAAGCAACCTAAATCACATGACATTATGATAAAGATATCTGACCTCCTTACCAAATGGAACAAACCTACCCCCTCCCCGTCACCCTCTCTCTCCCTCTCTCCCCCTCTCTCTCTCTCTCTCTCTCTCTCTCTCTCTCTCTCTCTCTCTCTCTCTCTCTCCG